CTTTTAGACATCATATTTGTAATACCAGAATAAGGAGAATTATTATTTTTCTAATCTGCAGTGTGTGTGCGTGTGTGTGCAAGGGGGGGGGGGGTTTAAAAGGTGGAAGGAAGAAATATTTTTGAAGCAGAATTAATAAATAACCAATATGTTAATGTTAAGTAATGGCTGACAAACATTTTTCTGGGATTAGATATTACTAGATTAAACATGTAGTAATCCACCAAATAATCTTTTTTTTCTATAAAACTATTTCAATTTACTCCTTTAATAATACCATCAAATGTGTTTTTCTTTATTAATCTAAATTTTTAAGTTTGATAGAAAGATAAAGTGGATAGTGGGGAAATCATGTTAGCTAACTGTGTAAGAAGGAAGGACTTGTTTGCCGTTAAAAAATATCAGCATTAAATTTTTTTTTGATTTTGAACACTGACTAGTGGTGGTAAAAACAATCTTACAGCCGCTAAGCAAACCCAATGTACATCTCTTATATTCTATTGGTCATAATGTTTTAGTTTTTGCATTGGGACCACTCTTCAACTTAAAATGTAAAAATGTTACTGCATATAATATATTTAAAATGTTTCTTTTTTTTACAAATATTAACTTAAAATTCAATTCTGACTGACATCATTGTAACATTAAAAGACCTCATAATTTAACAAAAAAATTTTTGCATTTTTTTGGTATTTGAAATTGAGATAATTCTACATAAAAATTGTAAAGATTTAAAAAATGTTTTTGATGAGAAAAAAGTAATGGTCTTGTCAAACTTTGTTTGCTATTTCTAATTAAAAAATATAGTTTATACAAAATTAACTCACTGCTACTGACAAACTTGGAATTTATTTTAGCATGTATGTTTGATGATATTGGTAATTTTTACTCTCAGCCCCAGCATAAAACAGAAACAATTCAAAACTTACAGAGCTAGAAAATGGTTGGCTTTCTTCTTTTTCATAAAACATTTTAATTTAATAGCATTATAGGCATATTTATAAGCAATAGACTTGATATTTTAGAAAATATTATTTCAAAATTCCTATATTTTATTAAGGATTTATGCCTGAGCACAACACCTTCTGTAACCATAACTGTCTTTTTAGAAGTGTTTATAACACTGTAGAAGAAAAATCTTATAAGAACACTAAGTGCAATTTGTAAGTCATGTGAAAATCTTGCTCATACTATGAAAAGTTTGAACCAGATTTGTTAATGGAAAGTTAATATTCTTTGTTTTGTACAATCTTTGTGGATGTCATGAAAATTTGCCTACAAACAAAAAGCTCAAGTACAGAAAAATGGGACAGAAAAGCCTTTCTCAGGGCATTTTTTGATTGCTCAAAATCAAAATTGAACTAATCAGGTTTTGAATGAGCATCTCCCACTGTCCTATGTATACAAAAAATAGTTCTTGAAAATGAAGTGCTTGGAATAACTTAAGCCAGCCAATTACTTAAAAAAATAAAAGTTAATATATATTAATTCTAATATGAAAAAAAAAAAAAATAAAAGTGAATAAGGTCATGTCAGAATGATTACAAAATAACTAGAACCCTTTTCTTGAAACTGCATCCCATATTGATAACCTGCTACAATAGAAGCTAAATATTCAAGTAATATTAATGATATCAGGTTTTTGAACATCTTAGTAATTAGAATTGCTGCACAGAAAAGCCCTCTAAAATTGTAATCCTGGCATCTGCCTGCATCCTGTGGAGATGGGCAATCCTGCCGGCCTCTGCCTAGAAGAATATATGACTGGTGCGCTAGATGTATTTAGAGACTAATAATAATCATGATAATAGTGATGATACTGAGGAGGTCCTGGATATTCTGTGTATGGGACATATGCATGAACTCAGTAACAAACAGTTGCATACAAGTGTGTATAAGCAGAAAGAAAAAATAAAATAAAAAGAGAGAAGCAAGAAAAAGTCCAGCATCTATTGTGAATATCATACAGAAAGAAAACAGACAAGATTTTAAGCCAGAAAAAAAGTGATAATGAAGAAAGAATAAAAGATAAACCTGCAGAGTGGAAGAAATATACAGTTTCTGGAAAAAAAAAAACAGAATGGGTGAAAGTGAAATTAATATTTTAATCTATTTTTTTTTTCAGCAGATTAAATATTTGATGGCATTTGTTTTAAAGGAAAAAAAGAATTTTAAAATAATGCTGAAATAAGTTGGAATTTTGAGGAGAAAAAGTTCTACCTTTCTTGTTTTTTCTTCATATTTTTTAAAATATTTTTTAATTGACACAGCCATTAAAGATAAAAAAATGAGATTTAGTCATTTTTTTTTTTATACACATGAATATATATATGAATGCATATGATTTTTGTGGTGGCGGTGGTGGTGGTTGCAGATTGTATCAGTAAATGGTAACTGAAGGAGAAGATTTGTTTTCCTTCATTTCAAAAGTCTTCCAAATGTTGATAGGTGAGGTTGGAAAATCAGGAGAATAAAAAAAAAACTTTTGGGTAAAAGATTTTGTCTCAAGTATTGCATACTGGCCTGCTCTGACCAATATTGACATCCACTACTACTACCACCACCACCTCTACCAAAAATATAGGCACCCTTACTAAGACTAATAGGTAGCCATGGATGTGAGGTGGGTATGGTAGGCATAAGATGAGGCAGGAACAGAGAGCAGACCAAGAGATGAGACATTTGTTGCCCAGAGCAACAACAACAACAATGTTAATGACATAACAGCAATAACAAATGAAAGTTAAATGGTAAAGAGGACAAGTACTAAAGCCAAAATGTCACTGCATACAAGCAGGCATACAATCAAACTGGCAATACATATGCACACACACACACACACACACACACACAAATATATCACACAAAAGCACTCTTTAGAAACCTTTGGACCAAGCTAGCAGAAACAGAGAATCAAACACAGCATTTAAAATTGATTACTGATAAAGATAGTTTGTGAGAGTAATGAGGAAATATAAACACTTATTTTAAAATATTGCATTTTTATATACTATGAGGCAAGTAAAAGATTTTCAAAAGTTTTACCCTGTTCATGATTACAAAGAGGGGAATGGATACTAACATACAATCACACCTGTACAAGTATACTGGTATATAAGCATACACATGTAAAGTTTGTGTGTTTTTGTGTGTGTGTATATATATATATATATATATATATATATATATATATATATATATATATGCACACATACATACATACATACACACACACAAACTAAAAAAAAAAAAATCACCGGGTAGGGGTGTAAACTGACATCATTCATGCTTTCTCTTCATCCTAATTATACCCAATCAAAAATATTTTTCCTCACCTTTAAGGAACAGAGATTAAATAAACTAGACAGAAAATTAATCCTGGGGTCAGAGTTGAGAGTTGAAAGCTAAATTCTCAGAAGTGTAAGTAGCTCATACTCATATCTGTTTATTTTCAATGCAAAAACAAGACACTCAAAATTGAAAGGTTTCAAGATGTTTTAAAAATATATTACAGAACAAAAATAGGCTATTGAAAGCTATATAATTGTCAAAGAGACATAAAAAACAAGGGTAGAAGTGAAATTAAAATTCAAATCGGTATCTGCTTTTGAAAAATAAAAATCTCCTTTTCTGATTTAAAAAAAATATTTTTTTCATAATTAAAGAGTTCTACTTGTCTTTTGAAAAAAATCTATTTAATTAAAATGTCAGTTTGTAGAGGATTTTGTATTGAAGATGGAATAAAATTAGAAAGTAAAGGTTGGTAGTGGAGGGTAGGGCAGGGGGATATGAAGTGAAATTTTTTCTGGAGTAAAACTAGTTTATAAACATTTCTTTTCCTCTTGAACATAGCTTAATTGTTGACATCTTTGTAAGCTTTAAAGATACATGCATTTTATAAACAAATTATATTTCTTTAAATAGAGTTACTTTTTCTTTTAAGTGGCAGGTAAAATAGATAGACAGGTAGGTGGCTACATAAAGTGATTAAAAAAAAGAGACCAGTTTAATGTATACAATGCTGCAGTAGGTCATTTCCTTTAGTATACACTCATCAGCACACACTGAACCACACAAACATACACACATAACCAGTAATAATATATACAATCATACTTTTGTGCACAGATTGTGAGTGGCTGACTGCAGATTAAAAATTGTTAGGTGGACAGGTTCTACAATAACACCCAAATATACAAAAATGTAAGAAATCAGATGATGGGGGATAGAAAAAAAAAATCACTGAGGAATGGTTGGAGAGAGAAAAGGCTAAAAGAGATTGATCAATTAGGGGTAGGGCTTGTTTCCATCCTTTAATTTTTTCCTCCTCCTGTATATTATTTTTATATTTATATAGATTTACATGGTTCCTGTTAGAGTAGAAAAAAAATTATTGCCTCTTTCATTGGCTTCTTTCTAAAGACTGAAGAATCTGCAGCAAAAATAATTTCCGACTGTTGTATTATCCCCTATGCATACTGTCAATTAATGGACACAGGTATATCAGGTGGGGGGGGATTAAAAAAAAAAGAAAGAAGAAAAGCTGGACTCTGTGTCTTTTTTTTTTTTTTGTTTTTGTTCTTTTTGTTAGTTTGTTTTTGTTCTCCCTCTAATTTGGATCATAATAATTTTGGTCAGTCACTTTGTTTGGTTTTGTTTAAAAAAAATTTTTTTGGTCTCAGTTGATTCTGTTGGCAATCTCCTGAGGACCACCAGCAGAAGCCAGGGATCCATTAACAAATACACTACCAGTGCTAGTGCTTTCAACACTGCTCCCTTTTTGTTCTATTAAATATAGATTTTGTGTTCATGTCAAGTCAATGTATCCCTTTTGAGTACTAGTAGAAGTTGCTGTTGGTGTTATAGTAGTAGTTGTAGTAGTAGTAGTATTAATTATAGTAATATTAGCAGTAGTAGTTCCACACCAGCAGATCAAAGAAGTTCATATTGGCGCAGGTGCATCCTCTGGATAATATCTCGACAATCATTAAAAACGCGACGAATATTCTCAGTGTCAACTGCACATGTGAAGTGAGGGTAGCAATAATGACGCCCATCTCGAGTAGCAGTGCTTATTCGCTAAAATCACAAAGTAAAAATAAATAAATTTAGGAATTTATCATAAAATGAGATATCAGAGAAATGCAAGATAAAATAAATAAAAAACAGACATTAAACTAGAAATTCAAAAAGTTTAAATAAAGGAGGCAAAGGCAGAAAGTGTAAATAAATCTTACCAAAAATTCATCACGGATAAAATATTTAGCACGGACAACTTCAGCATCATCTCCAGGTTCAATTACAGCTGTAAGAAATAAATAAAAAATAAAGAAAAAAACTTTTGACTGAAAATCATTAACATAAAAAGAAATTTAACTACAATACAGGATTGTGATGTTTTACTGTTAAAGATTATTCAGTTTACATTTAAATGACAAAAGCTACATGGAAAGAAAGGAAAACTAGATATAAAAATGTAAAATATACTTTTATAGTAAGAAAATCCCAAATTAAATAACTCTCAAAATAGTTGATAAATTTTAAGTTGAAACAATTCGATGATTTCCTTTAAAATGAATCAGTTATATTTATTGTTCCTGAGACATAATGAAAGACTGGTTGCAGTTTTTCCTAAAGATACTACACAATTATCAAAATATACATACTTTACCTATACAGCCAGAAATATTTAATTGTTGAAGTTATGTTCTAGAAAGGTTACTATAACATACTCGTAGGTGCACATGCCTAAAAGACAGAGGAGGGAGGACATTTTTTTTTTATTTTAGGAACTTATTAATTTATACCTTTATTGATTTCACTTTCTGATGTTTTAAATGATTTTCCAACTCCTCTCTTTTATTAATCCCTCTCCTTTCATACTGATAAAAAATCCCAATCTTATCCTTTATTAAGACCTCTCTGTATTAGAGACCAAAGAAAAATTGCTGTCAATTTCCAAATTGAAAATGATAAACTGTTTTTTGTTAGCAACACCTGTGTCATTTTGTAGATAGTTTATAAAAATATGTTCTTTTGTATTAAGAAAAATCCTGCAGCAATATTTGCTCTTAATATTTAAAGAAATGTACACATGCAAATTTGCCATGTGTTTTATTTTTTTCACATTCCATCTAAATATCAGCGTATGATATGCTGATATTTAGATGGAATGTGGAAAGTTTTGTGTTCAATACAACAAAGAATCCCAATTTCATCCTTTCAAAGTTAAAAATGTTCATTCAAAATTCAAAATATATAAATTAAAATAACATTCAAAATATACACAAGCACTTTTAAGCACCTAGAAAAGAACAAGCTTTTCAAATATAGTCGTAGAACTTAAATAATCTACAAAACTGTCTTTTGGGGAAAAAAATAAATCTGATTCTTTTTAATTAGGAATTCTAGTTAACTTATTTGATTTGATTAAATCTGGAGGCCCGTTATGATAAATAAATAAAATATCTTCATAAAATAGTTAGAAAGTTAAATTTTTTATTCTTCTGCTAAGCTTACTTAAACAGGCAAAGCAGAAGTATCAATATACTGTCTATACTTTTCTCTTTCATTAACAGTAGAAAATTTGGACAGTTAAATTTCTCTTTTGTTTTTTTGATGTTATCACAATGATTTATCCAATCCATTCTTTAGCCTTCCTAATATGTAAGGAAAGAGAAAAATTTATTCTTTTCCCAAACAAAATGGAGACAGAGTTTGGAGAACAACCCTGTGCCTAAAATAAAACTGAGTTGCCTGAGTGGTGGTGAATGGTATCATTTGTGTCTTTTGTTTTGTGTCAAAGGGGGACTAATATTGTTGCATTGATCTTTTTAGCTTGAACAGCAACAAAAATTAATTAAGCCCAATACCAGGAGCCCAGTTGCCCTGGAAATACCTTTCCTTTAGGAAGAGTTTAGGGTTAATCCTTGGTGCCTGAGGCTATCTTCAAAAGGAATAGTGCCAAGGGCCTGAACTATTTTTGACCTCAGATCCTATGTATGCATGGGACTTCAAATTTAATCTTAGATTTGTGCCACATTGTCCAGTGATATTTATATAAATTATGCTTATGGTCATTATTATTTTTTAAATAGTGACAACTTTAGAATAAATGAAAAGCTATTACAATAAGTCACTCTTTTGTGAATAACACTATTTCTGGTTACTTCATAGAGACTGACATACCTATGTTTCAATTAGGAATTATTTAATTTTTAATATATATATATATATATATATATATATATATATATATATATAAATAAAGGGAACATTGAAGTCAACACTCAGAGGTGATAGGCTGTTCCATGCTAGACACAATCATCAGGCTGAGAGTGTTGAGTTTTTTCTTGACTATTTATATATATGGTTCAGTGGTGCATTGTGGGTAGTCCATTCTTGTGGAAGTGGTTTGTTCATTTATTTATTTATTTGGGTTAATTTATTTTACTTGTTTTTTTTATTTATTTTTATTTTATATATTTATTTATTTATTTATTCTTTTCGGTTTTCGATGTTTTATTAATGTAGCAAAAAATCTTTTTAGATTTGCTTACTACATTAATAAAACATCATCTTGGAGAACAACAAAGTAAAGCAATACTATAAAAATTACTCAGGTACTTACCATCTACAGGGGTGACATACCGTGCAAATTCTTCAAAATATGTCTCAATTTTTGACTTTCCAGCTTTGACTTTTTCAGCCAATAAATCTTGTTTATTCAAAAATAAAATCACTGAGATATTTCTCAACCACCTGAAAGATAGTAAACATGCAGTATACAGCAATGTACATATTTGTATATTTGTATGAGCATATAAAAATAATTGTACACTGAACTTTAACTTATGGAGAACAACAAAAAAAGTACAAAACTGTAACAAGTGTCATAAAATTTATTTAGCTGGTTGAATATATGCTAATAGAAAGAGCAAATTTATTACGTTGAAGAAAAGTGCTGTTACTTGTATTGCTACAATGACATTAAAATTGTTAGATTACATAGTGATATATGTAAGTGTTCAGATCTTTTTCTTTCCTTCCAGCAATATTTATTGTCAAATTGAATGAATTTCTGAACTGACATAACTTATAAAAATATATATAAAATAATCAACTATTTAGGTTTTCAGTTATTGTAATGTTATCATGGGATTAACAGTTGCCTGTATGAAAAAATTTGAAATTTGAAAATTTGGTTAGTGTATTTAATAAGCATTTCTAAAATATATACTCTGTCAATAATACAATTATTCTTATCTGACCCTAAGTGTTAATATCACAAAACCTAGTTGGTCTTAGATAAGTATTATGGACATTTTATTTATTGATAATAATTACTGCTCTAGATATGTACTGAGCACTCTTACTGACAAAATTATACTCATCTCAGCATAATGTCAAATTACCTAATTTTATAGATATCAACAAGTGTTGTTGTTGTTATTATTATTACTTTATGAATTCAAAAGTTCAGCAGTTTAAGAAGCAATAAAAAATATTTACACTGTTTATAGAAGTAAAGTCTTAAGTGTTAGAAAATACCAGTGATGGCTTACTAAGGGAATCTTATCCTCAAAGATTCCACTTGTCTGGACAACCAAATAAAGTGTTAAAATTTGACCACTGGTCTCTACAAGACTTGACTGATTCTCAATTTAATCTGTCAGTCAATATCGGTGTCATTAAGGACAAGACATATTACTGAATGTTTTTGGAAAGGATCACCATCGGGGTCAAAAATGAGTCTTTTAGAATCATATTGAATAAAAGGTACAATGGTTACTAGGATTAAACTTGTAGTAGTGTTAAATGAAACAGTTAATTTTGGAAAATACTGCCATCAACTGAAAGCAGCTTGGAAAATCAACCTTTACTAATCAATTGAAAAGATGAGTTACTCTTGCATGACATGTTACAAAATGCATGCAGGTAAAGACTTGTTTTGAATATGCAAGTAGTTATTTTTTATTTATCTTTCTTTCTTTTTTTTTTTTTTTTTACTTCAACCATTTTACACTCCCAACCATGCTCCATTAGATTATCAACTTGGATCTTAATAGCATTTCCAGACTGGGAAACTACATCAATTATGAAAAGGTTAAAAACAGATTTTTTTGCCTTGAAACCTAAAGAATTCTATGCTTTAGGCATTAATAATTTGACTGCTTTATAGGATTATGACATTCAAAATGAAGGAAATTATCACCTTAATTGAATTTGTAATTGGCCATTAAATACAAAGTGGGTGCTAAAAAGTTCCAATACCTACTGGGAAAAAAAAAACTCCAAAAAACTTCTGATCAATCTTTGAGAAGTGGGTTGAGCCAAGAACTTTGCAGCAGTCCCTTATACAAGTTAATAAGATATCTCATCAAAAAAGGGACATCACTTAGTTTCTTACCTAAAAACTATACAAGTTTGTACAATCTAAGGAAATTGTCCTAAGCTGTTATTATTATTGTTGCTGCTGCTTTGCATGATACTTTTTGGTTTACACTCTCCATGAGAATTCAAAAATTTTCACCAATTTACTTATATAACCTGATAGAATCATGTGTATCTTATTAAGTGGGAACAACACATTCAATAAATTTTAAGCATATATTATTGCATAAAATTCCAAGCTCAAATGTTGTTGATGAAAAAGTAATGTGAGAAAGGTTAAAAAAATAAAGTTTTGCACATACCTGTTATTCCAAATACTTTGAAACAACTCTAAAGATTCTTTAAGTCTATTTTGGGTGTTATCTTCTCGTAGGACAAGGTTGTAGCTACTGCATGCAGTCACAAAAATGATAGCTGTTACATCATTAAAACATTGGATCCACTTTCGTCTTTCATCTCTCTGTCCTCCTACATCAAACATACTGAAAGGTGGGGAAAAAAAGAAATGCATTAGAAACAGACAGAAAAATAAAAACAAATGATTATAATACAAAATCACCCTTATATCTGTTACAAATACTGGTTAATCTTTTCTTGACCAGCATTTATAACAGATATAAGGGTCATATTTTTATGTAGAGATTCAAAAACTGTCACATTAGCTATTACGATTGAGAAAACCACTTTAGGCAAATTTTGGAGATTTTTAATAGACTTTATTTCATGATTGTTGTTGCTTTTTTTTCCTAAGATCATCTCCTAAGCTTATTTAATGATAATAGCTATAAAGCCAACTTTCAAATTTGCTGCCAAGCTCAGATATATTTTTACTGATTATATACAATATTTTATGTGTAAATTTATATTAAAACACTCAGATTAAAAAAAGTATTATAATTGAAATTATAATACTTTTTATAATATTATGAATATTGGTCCTTTTTTTCATGTATATCCATAAAGTTGGTATTGTTGGAAGATAAAATTGAAAATCTCTACATTGTCCACACTTTTCATATCATCTTGAAACTAATGATAAAAAAAATTGAAGAAAATGTGATGTCATGTTATGATATGATGATCATATTTGATTTTATAGAGATAAGGGGAAAAAATCAAATTATTAATGTATGCTGAAGGGTTTTAGAAATGTTTAAAAAGTTGGCTCAATTTTTTTATACTGTAGGTAAAATTAGTCAAAAATTTGTAAATTCTATAATTTAAAAATATTAATTTTATATACTCTATTACTTTAATGTGAGGCTGATTTTTTTTAAAAAAATTTACTTAATTTAAAATGTACTTAAGTACATTTTAAATTAAGTAAATTTAGTGTAATTTGAATTTTAAATAAGTACATTAAATATATGAATGATTGCTGAAAGTTTTCAGCCTGACTCACTTCCCAAAATCTGCCAAGAAATAATTTTTTGGAAGAACCTCTTGTTCAGGCTGAAAAATTGCCAACACTTCCTTGTATTATACTTGTAATTATCCTAGTGAAATGTGAAAAAGTCATGGAAGAAAATTGGTGGGGGGAAATCATGCTAAATACTGAGTTTAGCATGCAGAACAAACATTCTGTATTTAAATGAGCACTTTGTTTTTTTTAAATAAAAATTCTAAAGACTTGTGAAGAATACTTTACGTTCTAATAATATTACTCATTATTTCTTATGAGCCTTATTTTAGCTATCACATTTTTAGCATCAGAATTCTTTTTAAGAACTAAAAAATCTTGGTTATAACATAGCTATTTAAATAACCCACAATTGTTTTTTTTATGACTTTTCAACTCTTTGTAGGTTATTTAAAACTGAAGCATATTTTTGGATTGTAAGAATTGTCTTTTTCTTTCTGCAAGTGAAAACTATTTAACAATTTTGAGAATCAAATGATTTTTCCAGAAAATGAATATTACTATTTAATAAATTGATAGGAAAAGGACAACAAAATTAAAATTTTCTGATGTGCATTTTATTAAAACAGGGTATGTCATAAATGTACAAAAAATGCTTGTCTTAGTCTTATACTAATTTAAACTACTATTAACTTACAAGGAACCAATTTAACTATAGTTCAATGACAATTGTTCTTAAATTAATTACTAAAATCCACAATAACTACATTTTTTATATTACAAAACGTCATATACCTAACTTTTGTAAAATACTTCTTGCTAAAGAAAGGTATTTTGTAAGTAATATGTGTAGGACATAGTAAAAAAAATATATAGCTACTAAAAATATGACTTTTTTTTTTTATTTTAATTTTTTTAGAAAAAAACAAACAGAAGAACTTAAATTTACTTTGAGAGTGAATTTTTTTGTTCAAATGTTCAGAAAAAGTAATTTTTAGTAGAAGAGTCTATAAAAAGATGCTTGATGGAATATTTGAGCTTTCTGTAGATAATATTTATTCAATTACATCTTGCCCATTTTTAAGAGGAGAATAAACTACTGTAGAAAAATATGTTTAAAAATAATGACAAAATTTTTTGGTAGATCATGAACATTTGTTACAAATAGTCATATTGGTAAATTTTGAAATCAAATTTTATGGTTAGAGAAATTCATAAACAATAAAACCCTTGAAAAAAAAAAAAAAATTTAATTTTGATCAAAACATATCTCAAAACATTTAATTTGAAAATGACATTTTTTTTCAGATTACCATTTTAAATCCCAAATTCTTTTGAAAATCTTAGTGTTCAAAAAAAAAACTTTTCTATAAATATTTTGACAGAAATCACTTTTAGATGATAATTTTTTAATAAATTATTTTCAAAAGTTTTATAAAAAAAAAGAATTATCTAAATATTTTTAATAAGAAAGAAAAAAATTAAAAAAACAAATTAAACTAAATAAAAATAAGTAAATATATAATATTAAAAATAATCATATTTTTTTTAAAAATTCCCCCAAATTTTTAGAGCATAGGTGGAAAAACTTAAAAAAACAAAGTTTTATTGTTTGATAATATTAGAAAATTGTCATGGTAAAATTGAGGAAAAATCAAAAAAAAAACATAAGAAGCATTTTTGAAGTTTTATTTGAGAGACATGGATGCAAGAAGAAAAAAAAAAAAGCATTGGGGGAAATTTTTTTTAAAAAACAGCAAAATTTAAGATTTGAAAATTGGACAATAGTATCACTGGATGATTCATTGCATTTTTTGGTTTTGATTTATTTTTGCAATTAAACAATTGATATAAAAAATTATTGTATGTAGAAAATATTATAAAAAAACAGTATTGTTTTTGTTCAAAAATTTGCATGTTATTTTTTTCCCCTGTATGTCATCACCCTGCTTGGACCAGCCCAACATGAAAATAGATGCAAAATTTAATCTTTTTTGACCAAGAACTCATTTGATGGTTTTGATTGAAATGGTCACTTCAGTGACCTGCTTTGGTGTTGGAAGTCTTGATGACCAACTGGGGTTTATGCACATTTACATTATTGGCAAAATGTTTATTGTTATTAAGAGGAAAAGTCTAAAGTATTTTTTTAATTATTTTATTAAAATTTTTTTAATCCTTTTTAAACATTCAAAATTTTGTTAAAAATTTTTTTTTCTTGTCAACAAGTGGACCAAAAATTATTATTTAAATTTTTTTAGCATTTTTTTTGAAAAAAGGGTGAAAAAACATTGTTTTGGAAATTCTTGCAAAAATCAAATAATTGTTGGATTTTAATGAAATTTTCAGGATTTATTCACAAATGAATGAAATTATTTTTGAAATTTTTTTTTTTTTAGAAAATCTTGGTAAAAATATTTTTTTTTTTTTTACATCTGTTACCCCCCCACTTATTTAATTTTATGAAATTTTGAGAAAAAATTTTCCATCCTCTTCATATTTATATTAGTTAAAAGCAGGACTCTTGGAGAATTTAAATCATCAATTTTTTTTTTTTTTCAAAACAAACAAAACCCATTTACTGAAAATCTGCTCTGAATCGTAAAAAAAAAATGCAATAAAACTATGACATTATTTAATTACAAAAGTTTTTAATTGCTTTTATAAATAAGATATAAGATGTTGTCTTAGAAAAAAAACTTTTTCCAATGAATAATGAATTTTTACAAGAATTGTTTTCATTTTTAAAATTTTTTAATTAGAATAATTTATTAAGCTTTAAATCTTTTAAAATTCTGTATTAATTTCACCTTTTTTAGATGATATTATTAAGTGAAAACTATATTTACTAATCATAAATGGAAAAGCTTAATACAAATTACCAAACACCAATATTTTTAAAGAATATTGAATTTTTTTGTATGTGTACAAATGTACCAATTTTTGTAGATATGGTTAGAAAATAAAAGCAATTACCATAGCAAATTTAAAACCAAAAAGTATATAAAATTCAATAAAACATTAGATTACAGAGAATATTTTCTTAAATTTTTAAAATTACTGAGTACTTAAAAATTATGTATAAAAGGTGCTGACATTATATTCAATTATTTTTAACAACTAAAGACCCTATATAACAATATTAGATAAATGTCAATCCATCGTCAAGATGCTAACATATCAACAGCTTAAATAAAAATGTGTTAAAAAAATGCACTTCTGCAATATTTTAAACTTAAAGTAAATAATATTTGTTTCAAATCAGATTAATTAATACTTTAAATCTGCTAATATTCCTCAAAGTTTCAGAAAAGTATATTTTAATTTTTTATTTTTTAATAATGAGAATTACATTGTGATAAAAGATGACTAAAAAAAGAATACTATTTTAGCAACAAAAAAAAAAAAAAATCTCCTCCCAATGAATTTAAATTACTTTTGAAATACAGCAAAGTATTTTGATTATTGGAAAGATTACATTTAATCTACGAGCTTGAAATTAAAACTAAAATAAAAACTTCAAGAAAGATTTTTATTTCTGACACAAAAACTGTTTAAAGACACAAGAAATGAAAATATGAATCCTGTTTCCAATTTATTTGGTTATTTATTTGGGTACAGTCTGGTGGGGAGGTAGGTGACACTTGCATTTTTTCACCACTAATTCTGTCCTTTTTCATTGCAGACTAATGGACCAGATCTTACCTTCAGTCTGTGAGAACTGTCTGCTATAACCCCTCTCTACATCATGACAAACAGATTGTAATTCACCCATAAGTAGTTCAAAATTCTACTGTGACCATTCTGTAACTCTGTTTAGAAGCTTGCAAGTGGAAATTCCTAATTTTCAGCCAAGTAGTACTTGATCCTGAAAATTTTCATTTATTTATTTTTTTCTATTACCTTTCAGCCAGCAGATGGCCACTTTGAAGTTGTTATTTTAAGAGCTTACTGTCTATACAGTCATAAAACTCAGCTCAGATAAAATCATTTAGGACCCATGCTAATGTGTGCGTTCTAATCATGGCCATGTCTCATTATATCACAAGAGTACATCATACAATATCTACTGCAATATAAACAGAATGTAAACAAAATTATGAAAGTCAACAAATTCTATGC